CGGCTGCGGGCGCCCGCGGGCGACCCAGAATGTGTTGCCCGCCGTGGTCGCGGGCGGGGTGTGGGCCCTCGCGGGCGGCCCAAAACGTGTTCCCCGGGCTGCACGTCGGTCAGTCAGTCGCTGAGTCAGTCAGCCAGTGACCAACGGACACGGGATTACACCTGGCTCTGCAGGGAAAAACCCTTCTATAGTCGTTGCGCGTCGCGGTGAGGTGAGTATGTTCACTACGCCCCATGTACACTGAAAGCCTTTGAAGCATACGCTTTCCTGCTGCAGGTCGCACAACGAGTTCCATGAATCGACGTCATACCATGATCATGGTGATGACGATGATGATGACGACGACAATGATGATGATAATGATGATCGTGATGATGATAATGATGATGATGAGATGATGATGAGGATGATAAGGATGATGATGATGAAGATGATGAGGATGATGAGGATGATGAGGATGATGATGATGAGGATGATGCTGATGATGATGATGATGCTGACGCTGACACTGATGTTGATGCTGATGCTGATGCTGCTGATGATGATGGTGATGATGACGATGATGATCACGAATCGCTCCGAGCAGCGGTTGTGCGGTCACTGCGTACGAAACGCCAAAGCCATGATCGGTTGCCAGTGCTCGGCCTCCTAGCTGCTAGCTCCGTGAACCAGCAGGCAGACATGTCACTGAGGAAGTCAGGGTCTGAAAAGCCATCGGGGGACAGCCTACGTAAGTAGAAATCTGCCCCGCGTGGCTTGTCTGGGTTGAGTTCCAAACCACCGTTCAGGCAAGTAAGAGTCCGCCCAGCGTCCTGAGGTGTAGGAATGCTGGCGGGAGCGGTAATTCCAGCCCCGTCGCTGGGGCCCACCCAGGGAGACGGAGACCCAGGAGGGAAGAGAAGAAGAGCGAGGATAAGCAGGGGACCGAAGAAGAGGGAACCGTTGCTTATCGTGTCGCAAGCGGTGGCCCTGGCGACACGCTATGCCTTTGTCAGTGGACAGCGTGTCGCTCCGCTCCGCGGGGCGGGCGGTCGGGAAAGGCTCGGGACGCTGACGCCTGGGGACCAGGAAGAGAATAGGGTGTCGCGCCGAAGCGTCGTGTGCCAAAACTGGCGGAACGACACGCTGAGTCAAAATTCAGGACCCTAGGAAAACATCGCCCGCCCTTTCCACGCCCCGCGCCCCGCACGGAGCTCTGGCCACGGCCCAGCAAGGGCGCGGCGACGTGCGGTACGGAGGGCTCGTTTCGGCAGGCCGCTCACACGTCCCGTGGCCCACAAAGCGCTGCAGCTGCGACCCCAGCGGGGGCGGCCCCGCACTGACTGAGCGCTCGTCGGGGCTGTCGGCGCGCTCGTTGCATCACACCCTCGCGCGTGTCGTGCCCCATAGGCTGTCCCGGCTACGGCCTTGGTGGGGACCCCCCCACCCTTCCGCGCCTTGCGTCCCCCCACCCCGCGCCCCCTCCTCCCTGGGGCGCACAGTATGTAGGTACAGTTCAAGCCCCTCAGGCTGCACACAGCTGCCCAAGGCTGGGCCCCTCGCTGGGAGAACTAGTGTCACGGAAGAAAATCCAATTGAACATGAATGGATCCCATGGATTCGTCAATAAATGTTGTGCCTCTGCCTCAGACTAGATTTCCCCATCCATGCCTTCCTCCCCATCCTGCTCGTCCTCCCTATTCCCCATCATCACGGATATTGCTACACATACGCTTATATAGCCAGAAAAGAAGCGACACAATAAGTGAGCATCGATAACGCCAGGAACTTGCATCAAATCAAGCAAACACATCAAGCAACCAGCGCAACAAGCACGCCACGTAACACAATGTAAACACAGGCGTGGAAGCAGTACTATATTGAAGCTGCTATGCCCCCCAGATACTGTGTTCCATGCGTGTACTTCTCAGACTAAACAGTGGCACATCATAGCACTGCTACCGATAACGCTTACATATGCACAATAACACTGTTAATGGTAGCATTGCGATATATACTGGCACTGTTGATACTGCCGTTGCTGCTGACACCACTTTACAATTCCATATACGAGTGTGTAAATGTATATGTAGTTGCGTATAAATTCACCTTGCCGCACCACCAGAAGTGTCGTTAGGGCGTGGCGGTCGTTTCACCTGAGACTTCCTCCCCCTATACACCCATTAAAACTTGAAACCTCCGACAATTACACGGATGGAGGACGCGCCGTGCTGACTTTTAAATGGAGCTCTCACCTTGGCGTGTTACACGGATTTAAAGCGAATAGTTTTCAAAAGTGGGCCCTCCAACATCTCCAAGGATTGAGGGCGGGCCGTTTTCAAAATGGGACTCTCGCCTTGGCGCCGAGCGCGCTTTTCTGAAGAAGCTCCAACAGTTACGCGGCTGGAGGACGGATTATTTTCATGATGAGGCTCTCGCTTGAAGCTTCATCGTCTTTGTTTCCACCACACATACAAACTCCCGCAAAAAGTTGCACAGGTCGAAGGCGGTTCCATTCCACAGTAGCGATCGCGGTTTGGATCCACTCCGGAGTGCTAAAGCGGGGCTTTCGCCAAACGCCTCCTTGAAATTTACGAGCCCGCCTTTGTCGCATGCCTCCTAACCCGTACAATGGCAAGTCATGCCTTTCAGAGTGGGCACCCGCCTGAACTGCGGGCCCATGGGGCGCTCCTCTTTCAAGGATGTCGCTTCGCGCAGTGCAGAACGAATGCTCGTAAGAACTGGTGGAAGGGGAAATTGGGACGGGAGGGTGTAGTGCAACATCGGTGATACATAGTTGGCACACTCTGCTCCGTCTGGCGCATCTATTCTTACACATATTCCAATCCGTCTGGTCCGTTTCCTCTTCCTCCTCCTCCAATTCCCTCCCTCCTCCTCCTCCTCCCCTCCTCCCCCTCCTCCTCCAACTCCTCTTCCTCCACTTCCTCCATCCTCCTCCTCCTCCTCCTTCTCCTCCTCCTCCTCCTCCTCCTCCTCCTCCTCCTCCTCCTCCTCCTCCTCCTCCTCCTCCTCCTCCTCCTCCTCCTCCCTCCCACCTCCTCCTGTCCCTCCTCTTGCTTCTCTCCTCCTCTTGCTCCTCCTGCTCCACAATTACTCAATATGAATACTACTCTCCCTCTTCCCCTGATGGCGTCCTGGGAATATTCGACCCCCCCCCCCGCGTACTGTTTTTTACACACAGGATTCCCGGGAGTTGGGTTTTCGCCTGCGTTTTTTCAAAATGCTGCTCTCGCTGAGGCGCCGGCCTCATTTCTGCTCCCGAATCGTTCCGAATCGTGCTCCCGCTGCAGCGTGGGCCTCATTTTCGGATCGGTGTTTTGCCTCCGTCGTTCAGGATGGCGTTCTCGCCCCAGCGCGGGCCTCTTTCTCGCGCGCCCATCCGCCCGCCACCACCGCGCCGCACCACGCCCCGCCCCGCCGCACGCACACCCACCGCCACTTCCACCCACCAACGCACGCACGCACGCACGCGCACCACCACCGCGCACCGCCACCACCACCGCACTACCCCACCCACCACCACCACGCTACACCGCGTCACACCACATCACACGCGCGCACACACAGCACACACGCACGCACGCACGCACGCACGCACGCACGCACGCACGCACGCACGCACGCACGCACACACACACACACACACACACACACACACACACACACACACACACACACACGCACGCACACACGCACACACGCACACACACACACACGCACACACACACACACACACACACCACCACCGCCACCACCACCACCGCCATCACGCACGTACGCACCTGGCCCACCACCAAACCACCAAGACGCCACACCACGTCACACCACAGCACACGCGCACACACGCACACACACATACACACCACCACCACAGCAACCATAACCACGCACACACGCACGCACGCACGCGCACCACCACCCACTACGCACACGCGCGCGGAGCCACAGGTCCGCTACGACACGCGTCCGCGGATAGAGAAAATCAGCGCCATGGTAAGGGATGGGCAGGGATGGGAGGGAGGGGTAGGATGTCAGATGTTGACGCGAGCGCACCTAACTTGTCCCCCCCCCCTCCTCCTCTTCCCCTGTTCCTCCCCATCTCCCTCCACCTCGTCCTGTCCCTATGGACCTCCGACTCGCCCTATTGCCAGCCACAGGATCCCCTACCTTCGACCGCCGCGCGCGCGCAACTGCGGAGGGCTGCTCGCGGGATCGACCGGGCCAGCGCTAATGTACAACGTACAAGTGGGCGCGCAGGCCGCCCCAAAAAAACAACCTCCTTTGGCGGCGACCCCAGGGGAACAGAGAGGGGGCAGGCCTTCTGAGAAGACGGCGGGGCTTCCGAAAAGTCATCTGGCCTTCTGATCAGCCGTCTCTGTCTTCGAAGCAGGCTTAGAGAACTCCTCGAAGGCCAGAGGCCTTTGTGAGACTTCTGAGAAGGCCCGCCCTGTCTCACGTCCGTCCCAAGCTCGCCGCCGCCTCATGCTTAGAGAAGCACCGTTGCAACCGTGGCGCGGCACTCGGCGCAAGGTCGACGCTAGGGCGCAGAAAATTATCCTGCGCTTTCGGCTTGTACATTGCACCGTCCCACATCGCACTCCGTCGTTATGTCATGTTGTATGCTTGGCTTGTGTTCGCCCATTCCCCACTTACCGTCCCGAGATAATTCAAATGGCTGATTCTCAGCTCTCGTCGTCCACCGCGTGGAGCCTGTGCCCAGAAGTATTCAAAGGAACTGTATCTCTCCGAACGGAGCCAGTCCGTATTCAAAGTGTAACAGATCGTGGGTGGCCCTCGTTGGGAGGGCAGCCTGCCTCGGGTGCAGGGCGGGTACACCCAAGCCTGATCAGCCGACCATCTTTCGCGGATGGCATGACGGGAGGAAATGGTGTTCGAGTTCTCCTGGGCTGGAGGAAGAATGATTTAGGATGTGTACATACATACACGTAGATACATGAGAGAGGGGATCCGAGAGGACGAGGGTATGACCGAACAAAAACATGAAAATCGCGCTCCACCATTACGGCGGTCGAGCACTGCGGCTCGTAGCTGAGATTGAAACCGGCATCGCTGAAGATAACTTTGTGCTACGAGCCTGTAGTTTCATGCCTAAAGGAACTACAAGGAAAATCGTCCTTCCTGTGTGCAGCGCGCTGTTTTTTCAGCGAACTCTCCAAGAGGACGTCGAGAGGATTTGCCGACGTGAGCAGAGGCGGGGGCACGCAGACCACGAGGAAGGGTGCGAGGCGAGGAAGGGAGTGCGTGTGAGGATGGGCGGATGGGCGGGCGGGTGGGTGGATGGATGCATGGGGAGAGAGGGGCATGGCCTGGAGAGCTGCGGACTATGCAACGGCCCATTGACAATCAACAGCGACGACTGCGTCCTACGCCCTTCGGGTTCCGACAGAGACACGGTCAAGACTGACCGTAAGGATGCGCGGTGAGGACGCAAGCCTCTTGGACGCACATGTCGTAGCTCTTCGAGCGGGGCGGGCCATCCCTACTATCGGTTTGGACTGTAGGGCACGTCGGGTGGAGCAGCGCGCGAAGGAGATGAGGGTCGCGAGGCAGGACGAGCAGGCTGTGTGACCTGGTGCGTTACCGCAGGGTGTAAGCCCAGAGGGGCTCAGACGGCAGCACTGGATTCGCACCCCTGAGTGTTCGAGATCTTGAGCATGTGATCGCCGCCCTTGCCGAAGTGGAACTCGCGCGGGCGCACGCCTTGAGTCTCAGGACAGGGAGCGATCTCTCGCAGGGCCTGGGCGCATGCTGCGGGCACGTGAAAGTTCCTCCCCATGCCTCGCCCGTCGGTGCTAGCGAATCTAGAAGTCCGCCACCGTGCCTCTGGGCACGGAGTGGGCGTGTCCTCAGGTCCGTTGCCTAATCCATACAGCGTCAGTCCTCTGTCCTGGGGGGCCGAGGAATCTCTAAGGGGCCGGGCCCCCAAAATCCGAGATCTCCTGGGGCTTGTCGCGTGCCCCCCGGGCTCCGGCGCGCCTCCCCGCATGGCATTCTCGGGCCCAAGAGGGCCCCAAGACGGGCGCGCCCCACGAGGCCCCAAGGCCCCGAGACGCCAAAGATCGGCCCAACAGGCGCTCAAGATGGCCTCCAAGACGCCGCAAGAAGCCTCCAAGGCCCCCCAAGAGGGCCTCAAGAGACACAAATCATGGATGTTCCATGAATGCTTGAAAGATTTGGGCGTCCTCGCCTTTTCAACTTTCCGACGCTCCAAGACGGCCAAGGAGGCCCCAAAGACCACCCCGAAACGACCCAAGAAGACCCTAAGACTGCTCCAAGACGGCCTAAGAGCCCCCAAGACCGACTAAAAGGCGCCCAAGACAGCCCAAGAGGGCCCCAAGACGGCCCCCAAAGAGACCCAAGAGAAGAAACACGAACCGAAAATCCGAGCCTTCCGCCCCAAGAGGCCCCCAGATGGCCCCAAGAGGCCCCCAAGAGGCCATCAAGAGGTCCCAAGAGGCCCTCAAGAGGCTAAAGAGTCCCCAAGAGGCCCTCAAATGGCCCCCAAGAGCTCTCCAAACTGCCTCCAATGAGGCCCACGAGAGGAAGGGCCAGCGCCGATCCAAGATATCAGCGCGGACCTCCGAAATTCTTGTTTATGCCATTTTTGCTCCCCGATGCACACCACCACCGTCCCTGGCCAGGGCAATCGTGGCACCCCAGGACGGTGTACAGAACTCCTGGCCGAGGCCAGAAGGGCGTTTTCCCACCAGCCCACCGCCAAGGAGAGGCCCTGGCCGAAGACCGCGGTGGTAGAAAACCCCACCCCCTAGCTTGGCCCCACGCGGGGGCGACACCCAAGCAAGGATGGCCTCTGGTGCGCGGCGATTGGGGAGCCACGTGGAATCCAGATGTCCCAGCACGCAGGCCTGGTGGCGGGGGAATCGCTGCGAGCCCAACCACTATGTCACTCCGGCAAAGGGTCCCCTCCTGCTCGAGTGTTGATAGGAGTAGTCCTGGCCCCAGGTGTCCCCAGCTTTTCGCGCCAGCTTGGAGCCCCTGGAGCCCCCTGGGCCTCGTGCGGGGTGCTCTGGAGGTCAGCTGGGCCTCCGGGAAAATCCTGGGGTCACGTTTGGCCGGGGACACTTCTAGCAACACCCGACACGCAACGTCTCTACGGCGAAGGGTCACTCTCCAGACATCCCGCGCTCCAATTGGTTTAGATGCGTTGACAACCAAAGACTGGGCAATTTCCCGATATGACCATTTTCATCATGAGTGATTTTTACGGTCATGGGGCCTTCAAGGCCCACAGAGGCAGAATATCCGAAAACTGGCCACACCTATATATATATATATATATATGTGTGTGCACATATCAGCATCTATAAATATGTTTACATGAATACAGATAAACAAATGCACGTAGATACATATGAATATATATATATATATATATATATATATACTAGAACCACGCGCGCCCTTCGCGCGCGCGCTTAGGTTCTAGCTAGGAGGCGAGCTTGAGTCAACGAAAGTCGCAGGGAAGGGGGCAGGGGGAAGAAGGCCAGAGAGCGCTGAAGGATACAAATACTGGAACCCTCTTGTGATTTTTGGGGGGCCTCGTCCGGCCGCTCGCTGGGAGTTTGACGTAGCTTCTCGGGAGCCTCTGAACCTGTCGGGGGCCTCCTGGAAGCAGGTTCGAAGCATTTTGGGGGCCGATTTGGGGCTTCTCGGGGCCTCCTTTGGGCCTCTTGGGGGTCTCCTGGGGCCTCTTGAGGGGCCTCCTTGGGGCCTCCTGGCGGCCTCTTGGGGCGGAAGGCTCGAGCTTGCGGTTCGTGGTCCCCCTCTGGGCCCCCTCTTGGGCCCGTCTTGGGGCCCTCTTGGGCCATCTTGGGCGCCTCTTGGGCCGTCTTGGGGCCCTCTTGGGCTGTCCTGGGGCCCTCTTGGAAGCTTCTTGGGCCGTCTTGGGGCGGTCTTGGAGGCCTCTTGGGCCGTCTTGGACGCGGCGAAAGCCCAAGATGCGAACATGCGAAAAATATACGTTTTCCCATGAGAATGGCGCGATTTTTGTTTTTGGGACCTCTCTAGGGGTGCCTCTCGGAACGTCTTGGGCTGATTTTGGAAGCCTTTTGGCGCCTCTGGGCGGCGTTTTGGCGCCTCCTGGGATATGTTGGGCCGGAAGCTCGGAATTCGAGAGTGGCTTTCTCCTTCTGGGACCCCTCTCGAAGTCGTCTTGGGGTTCTCTTGGGCCGTCTTGGGGCCGTCCTGAGCCACTCGTGCGCAGCCTTGGAGCGCTCCCGGAGGCCTCCTAGGCCGTCTCGGAGGCCTCTTGGGCCGCCTTGGACGCGGTGAAAGCCCAAGAGGCGAACATGCGAAAAATATACGTTTTCCCATCGGAATGGCACGATTTTTGATTCTTGGACCTCTCTTGGGGTGCCTCTCGGAACGTCTTGGGGTGCTTTGGGGAGCCTTTTGGCGCCTCTTTGCGGCATTTTGGCGCCTCCTGGAGCCTCTTGGGCCGGAAGCTCGGAATTCGAGGTTGGCTTTCTCCGTCTGGGACCCCTCTCGAACTCGTCTTGGGGCTCTCTTCGGCCGTCTTGGGGCCGTCCTGGGCCACTCGTGCGCAGCCTTGGAGCGCTCCCGGAGGCCTCGTAGACCGTCTTGGGCGCCTCTTGGGCCGTCTTGGACGCGGTGAAAGCCCAAGAGGCGAACATGCGAAAAATATACGTTTCCCCATAGGAATGGCACGATTTTTGCTCTCTTGGGCTGCCTCTCGGAGCGTCTTGGAGGCTTCTGGGACCTTCTTGGTGTCATGACAAGCGTCTTGGAAGGCATCTGGAGCCATCGGAGCGCGTTCCGAAGCCGCCTGCGAACGATCTTGGACGGCGTTCGGCGGTCCGACGAGCCTCCGGGCCCCCCGGGGCCCACATTTGTGGTCGAGGTCCCGGCCCCGGGCCCCCGGACCCGGTGCGCCGTTATATGTGTGTGTGTATATATATATATATATATATATATATATATATATATGCATCGACTCAGAGCCTCGGATCTCTGGGTCACCTGGGGTGGCGCCCTGTCGCCGCGGTGGCGGAGCGGACTCTCTCGGCCGCGGCGGCCGTCCGTGCGAAGCTCTGGCCGCTGCGCGGAGGGTGTGGCAACAAGGACGTGGGGCTTCGCGGGGTTCGTACCAAGTCCTCAGGATCATCGAGGGGGCTCGCGGTGGAGCCGCAACCGGAGTCCTCAGGGTCATCGTACCAGTGGGCAGATATGTCGAAGTGGCTGCAGTCGCGCCCTCGGGGGCGCCAGTGGACCACAAGCGCAAGCAAGGCATCGAGGCGGGGTCACTGCAGCCGAGGGAGTACTCATCATGGTCGCTGTCCTGGCCGCCAGTGGAGTCGGCGGTTCTGACGGTGTGGGCTCGAGGCGTCCCAGCAAAGACGCGGCCGACTCTAAGCCCGTTTGTGATGGGAGGGGAGGGATGAGAAGGGGGTGAGGGGACGAAATGAGACCGAGGGGGGTGAGGTGGGTCTGGGGAGGGATGGAGGGGAGGGGGTGAAGGGACGCAAGGGGATGGAGGGGAGGAAGGAAGTGGTGGGGAGAGGAGTGATGGGAGGGGGGGGAGGGAGGGAGCGGAGCGAGGGGTAGGGAAGGAGATCGGTCAGTGCTTCTGGCGAGAGGAAGGGGGAGGAGTAGGAGTAGGAGAACAGAGACACGGGGGAACTTGGTGCGGCCGGGCTGGAGCCTGAAAAACTTGCCATGAAGCAAGGAGATCATGAAGGAAACGGGTCCTGTATGTCCTGGGGCTTTCCCCGAGACGCATCCCCAGCTGTTATCTGACGGCTTCGGGGCCAAGGATGGGCCAGAAACTGTCAAACAAACCAAGACCCCTGTCACTCAGGACCCCTCTCTCCATGGCGAGAGATCGTGCCCTGGTCAACGCCAGGGTCACTCTCCGGGGCCCACCGATGGCGGAGTCGAAGGCCTCTGGCAGTGGCGAGGCGCTCAGTGCACCTCCGCGAGCGGGACGGACAGGTCAGACCTCTCAGAGATCCACGACTCGCTCCTCTTGAGGGTGAGGATGCACACGGGAAGGAGGAGGAGGAGGACGACTACTATTACTACTACTACTACTACTACTACTACTACTACTACTACTACTACTACTACTACTACTACTACTACTACTACTACTACTACTACTACTACTACTACTACTACTACTACTACTACTACTACTACTACTACTACTACTACTACTACTACTACTACTACTACTACTACTACTACTACTACTACTACTACTACTACTACTACTACTACTACTACTACTACTACTACTACTGCTACTACTACTACTACTACTACTACTACTACTACTACTACTGCTTTACTACTGCTACTACTACTACTACTACTGCTGCTGCTACTACTACTACTACTACTACTACTACTACGACTACTACTACTACTACTACTACTACTACTACTACTACTACTACTACTACTACTACTACTACTACTACTACTACTACTACTACTACTACTACTACTACTACTACTACTACTACTACTACTACTACTACTACTACTACTACTACTACTACTACTACTACTACTACTACTACTACTACTACTACTACTACTACTACTACTACTACTACTACTACTACTACTACTACTACTACTACTACTACTACTACTACTACTACTACTACTACTACCTCCTCTCGGGGGGGGAGGAGCCAGTGACGCATTTGACAATCGTTTTGGGCCTCCAGTGGAGGTGCTCTCGTCGCCGCGGCTGGATCTGCCATGAATTCCTTGCCAAAATGTGCCACTGGAGAGGTCTGAGGGTCGACTTCGAGGAAGGGAGAGCGGAGAAGGAGGAGGAGAAAGAGTAGGAGAGGAGGGGGGAGATGAAGAGGAACAGTGACGAGGGACGGGTCGAAGGATGAATAAGGAGGATGCGAATGCGGATGCGCAGGACGAGAGGAAGGGAAACAAACATGAGCAACACGCTAGCAAGAGGATGAGGGAGAGGGGCAGGGGTAATACCTGTCCAAGATCAGTGATTAGTATAACCACCTTTATCAACATTTCCTTTCATGAAGACAACATTCACACAAACATTGCCGTCGCATCGACCTCTCGAGAAACCCTAAAAAGCTGAAGTAACGGGCGGACTCGCTAATCAATTTGAGAAGGGTCGGGCTGTTATCGACCTCCGACGACAAGCACGGGCAGCTCCTCTTCACGAAGTGGTCAACTTCTGGAAAGTAGTTGAGCAGCAGCTGCACCGACGACCCCTTCGTGAACTCGCTGCCCAGAAGGACCCCCGAGGAGTAGGTCCTCCAGGGAGGAGGCGGAGAAGATCGGGAAGCTGTAAACTTTGTCCGTCGCAGCGCGGCAGAGGCGATCCGCACGCGCGCTCTAACGGGCCGGGCTCGGGAACGCACGAATTGTCCGGCTGCAAGAGAGGGGAAGGGGCTGGAGAGCGGCCGCGGAGGGCGGGAGAAAGAGGTAGGGCACTCACTGCAAGGGAAGCGGTAAACGCTCGACACGCGGCCAGATCTGCACGCGCAGCATCTGGAGACCTCGAGCTGGATGCACACATGCTGAGGGACGGCGCACCTCGCCATAGAGGGCCGAGCGCTGGGAAGGCATGCGGTGAAGTGTATATCCAGCTCTCGCCAAAGCCAGTCACGTTGCACGTGTCCAGCTTCCTGGCACGGGTGGAGGCAGGGATGCGCACAACGAGGATGAGTACGAGGAGGGGGCTCAAGATGATGACCGGAATGTCGACGAGGAGGGGGGAAAGGTCCTTATGGTCCCCCACCTTCTGCCCGCCATCCCCTCGCACGCACACATGCACTTTTTCGTCCGGCGGCTGGGTGACAACACCGCAGCGTGTACTAAGGCGCGGCGCCCTTCGTTCAATTACGACCTGGCGTTGCAAGTGTGGGGTCGCACTTTTAGAGTCGCGGCCACGCGCGCAGCGACGCGGCGGAGGCAGTTGCATAAGCGCTCGCGACACGCAGAAGCCACAGAAGCGGCCAGGGACTCACCCGGCCCCGGCGAGATGCGTAGAGTCACCCAAAGGGAACCGCACGGTGCGTTCGTGTCTCGAGGGTGCAGCCGAAAGAGCCCACACACACACGCACACACACACACACTTTTTTTCCTCTCTCTCTCTCACACACACACACTCGCACGCGCACGCGCACGCAGGCACACGCGCACACACACACACACACACACACACACACACACACACACACACACACACACCACACACACACACACACACGCGCACTGGCACACACACACACACATTCACACACACACGCACACATTCACACACACACACACACACACACACACACACACACACACACACACGCTCTCAAACCCACGCACAAACACGCACACACACGAACACACACACACAAACTTTTTGGGCTCTCGCGGTCGGGGCAGAGAAGCCACACGGACGACTGTACCGCAAGGCGCGGCGGATTGACGGCGCGCAAACAGCAATTGGAGCAACAAGGAGGGAAAGTATCCACATATCCCTGTTTCAAAATATGGCACAGTGGGGATGGCCTCCGCACACACACACACACACACACACACACGCACGCACGCACATACGCACACACGCTTTTGATCTGCAGGGCGAGAGCGAACCTCTTCCGCTGAAAGCTAAGCGGGACGCACACAGCTTTAATTAGCAGAGAAAGGGCGGGAAAAGGCGGGGCCTCACGCGGCCAGGAGCGGGCGAAGCCCGGGGATCAGGCGGTGCCGAAGTGGACGTGCAGGAAAAGGTACACCTTGGACAGGAGCCCGGTGGTGAAGTCCCAGGAGAAAGAAAGCCGGTGGTGGAGCCGTCAGCGGCGCTTCGAGAACACCAGCCTCACAAACTGCGGAAGAGGACGCGCCACTTCACCAGGTCGACGTCCGAGAGGAAAAAGAGCACCACTGAGTTGGAGTGCAACGTTGTGCCACCAAAGTGATGTCAGGAGTACCAACCGTGGTAGTCCAATCCACGGACTTGGAGACCCGACACACGCACACACATACACTTTTCGGTCGATGCGTCGCGGCGACTCACCAGCTCGTTGGGCGCCCCTCGCGGAGCAGTCAGGAGAAAAGAAAAGGAAAGCAAGAGAAGGCGTGGCGGCCGGCCCCTCACGGGGCAGTGGCCGGGAACGGCGCCGGGGCGCGGGGGCAGCGGGCAGCACCGTGACAGGCCAGCGACGGGGGGCAGCGAGCAGGCGGCGGCCGCAGGGCAGCGCGCCAGGCGGAAGGGCGGCGCGCGCAGGCGCGGCGGGCCACGCCAAAGTTAGGCGGGCGGGGTCTCGGCGGAGAGCCAAAGGCGGGCGGCCGAAGCTGGAGAAACCGCGGCGAGCTGGAGAGACCAGCTGGCCGGGAAGAGGCGGGCGGAGCGGGGCGGAGCGGGGGGGCGGCCAAAGGGCAAGAAAACAGCGGCGGGCCGCGAAGAAAAGAAGCCGAGAGGCACACACGAACAACACGCACGCACACACGCACGCACGCACGTACACACTTTTTGCGTCGGCGGCTAGGCAGAGTGACTGCGCTGGCGGAAGAGCAAAAATTGGACGCAATGCGCGGGGGGAAGAGGAGGAACGCCCAGCGACGGCGGGAGGGAGGAGGAGGCCGGGCCCGCTAACAGCGGGGCCAGGCCGCGGCGGGGGGCGGCGCCGGGGGAGGGGCCCAGCGGCGGCGAGGCGGCAGCTGGGGGGTCGACCAGCCCTGCAGCAACCGGAGGCGGCGGGCGTCCAGAGGTCAGCAATGCCCAGCGCAGGCTGGAGACGACGGTGAACGCGAGAAAGCAGAGGCGCTGAGATTGCCGAGGTAACAAGTGACCTGCGAGGCAGCGCCCGGGGGCGGCCAGTGGGAACCACCTCAGGGGAGAGGGGTCGGAGAAGCGCACGCACACAGACACACACACACACACACACATACACACACAGGGTGGTATTCTCTAGAATTCTCACCTTCCTCCGTCCATCACCCTTGAAGTCAATTCCCCTCAACGCATCACGGGAAGTGGCGCCAGGGCTGGCCTGGCGTTTCGCTTCATACTTCTCCATCATCTATGACATGGAAGCTTGAACTTCCTACCACCTACATGGATTGGAGGCAGTTTTTTTTTCAAAATGAGGCGATCGTCTCAACGCCACGCAAATTCGCTTCAAGTTCTGCCAGTTACACGGAGGGACGGCGGGTGGTTTTCGCAATGTGACTCACCTAAGCGCCGCGGCCATCCGCCTCGCAGTTACAACAAGCTATACGGAGGGAGAGCGATTCGTTTTCAAGTTTTCACCAGTTACAACGAGGGAGGGCGGAACTGTTCCAGCATGTACTTATCGCCTCAGCGCCGCGCACGACTGCCTTCAAAGACTTCATCCGTTAAAATGATTGCGGGATGCTGCACCCGACTTCCTCACGCTCTCAAGCCAAACATGGATGTTTGCCAGTGTGGATGCCATACCGTAAATTACTACACAGTGGATGTGTAAACTACGTGGTGCAAGCTATGTGGTGTACTGTAAGATCTGTGGCGCAGTCTTCATGGTGTAGGCTGTGTGACTTGCAGAATTTGAAGCGGTACACCACTGCTCGCGAGATCAGCCCACCCTCCAATCCGCAACATGTCTTGCAAGTGGCATCATGGTCCCATCGGCATCGGCGGCACATATGATGATTGCAGCGATGGTGGTGGCGATGATGACGATGACGATGGGAAGTCCAATGGTGGCGCCGATGCTGGTGACGACGATGACGATGCTGATGTCCATGTGTCGGTGGTGGCAGGGGTTGGCTGATGACGGCGGCAATGGCGCCGATCAGCGTGAACGATGACGGCGGTGATTCGGTGGCGCTGCTGAGGGTGATGGTGAGGAAGTGCACGCGCGGACATGCAAGAAACTTGGCAGAGCTCCCGCTGAAGGGAAACAACTGGCTTCAGATGCTGTCGAAAACTGAACCCTGGACGCTCGAGAGCAACCAGAAGATCTGGGGCATCTTCCGACACGAGAGAGCGGGAGCGCGCGCGCGGGCCGCACGGCATGATGTGCAACGGCGTCGTGCCCTGGGCGCATGCTGAGGGTATGGTTCTGGGCGGGGTTGCTGACTCCTCCTCCTCCTCCTCCGCCTCCTCCTCCTCCTCCGCCTCCTCCTCCTCCTCCGCCTCCAGGAGCTGCTGTGGCTCACAGCACAGCAGGAGCTCCCACCACACCTACCACACCGTACAACCCACGGGTGGAGGTCACTAACATGAGGGGCGGCAGGCCTAGGCTGGCCTGCAGAGCCTACTCTTCCTTCCCTCCACCCGCAGGAATCGTGTTCGCCATGGTATTGAGAGTTCTGGCATATAATGTCGGATGGAATGGTCACACACATCTGGAAGAAATATCGAATCTCACGCCGACCGTCGATATCATGATGCTCAACGGAACTGGGCGTGCCGCAATGAAGAATGAGGACGTGACGCAGGAGAACTTGCCGAACCACACTTGTGTGCAGTCAGGGCTCCGAAATTCACGGTGGTCAAACTGTTCATGCGATCTGGCGGCGGTGTTCGATGCGGAGATAAAGGGCACTATGCAGCAGACCTCGTTCCCACCACGGTCCAGGGGCATCACAGGGCGGATCGCTATGACAAAGTTTCGCATTCAAGCATGTACGGTGGCTCTCTTTCCTGAATACATGCCACCCAAGGGTACCACGCCGTCCTTGCTGAAAGAAGCGGCCGATACAAGCATGACTTGGTTTAACAAGACAGCTGGCAAGCTTGGACATCAATGTTTCATTATTACGGGAGGAGATCTGAATAGCTCACTCGGCATCCGAAGAGACGCCATTGGACGCACGTATTATCGAGCTGGACACACAGTTGGAATACAAAAATGAGGGATGGACGCAGCAGTTTCACAGCGCGTTCGAGACGCGCTCGAGGAGAACCACTTGACATATGCAAACATATATTGGGATATGGGACCAACATATTTTAGCGGCGCCACCAACAGCAAGATCGATCAGTACGTCGTGCCCACCGAACCCATGCAGCGCATCATCACCATCAAGACGCTTCGAGTGCTCGGACGGCGACTGCAATGGCGCTTCGAGTGTTCGGACCATATCCAACTGCTCATGGAGCTAGACACTCGCACGGAGTTAGTACACAAAGGCGCTCAGCACCCTCAGGCACATCGAGGCCATTCAATGGGCGCGTATGTGCACGGCCATCTGCGTATCGAGTACATGAAGGAATATGAGAAGAACACCGAGGAGACGCCAGAAGACGTATGGAGACAATTATGGGAGCAAGATGACATACAAACTGGATGGGACCTACTGAGGGCCAACATTCACAAACGTCCGCAACGAGGTTTTCTACCAGGGGAGCACCCTTCTCAGAAGAACGAGTACGTGAGCGCGGAGAGGGTCGCGCTGATCAGACATCGAGATGAACTTCATGAGCGACTAGGGCGAGAAGGCAGTAAAGCTCTCGACCAGGAGAACCCGCATCAAGCTAGACACAATGAAATATGCATAGGATTTGGATTGTTCATTCGTGAATTACAAGCTGCGCGCCGATGGCACAATTTGGAACGACACATCGAGACCGCTGAACAACTCGATCACGCATGGAAGCGACATGACTGGGCGCAGATACATCAGTCGAAGACCTCTCCTTCAGGCACGGGAAGGGGGCCTAAGAAGCGGTTCATCTACGGCACGAAGCACTGCATAGCAGGTGATGAAGCGACACGCGGGCTCGCACAAGAAGCTGAAGACGGCGGGCTCGGGGCAGTACCTATTCAATGGGCAGAGTTTGCTGCAGAATATCAGTTCTTACTCAAGATGCACGTGGAGGACCTCATCCCATACTTCCAAGTCAAGGCCGCCCACGCCCAGACGGGCCAGCCCAAACAGTACAAGGTGCAGACAATGTACAACGCGCTTGCAGTCCGCCCGTTCGCGGACGAATTGAACATCGCCGCAGTCAATAGAGCCAGGGAGCAGCTTCAAGGCGATGGATTGAAGGAGCCGGTCAAGCTACCAGCAATCGTGGAGCTGAAGTTTCGACAGACGATGCATCAGGCCATCACGCACGTGGGAGGGAACCGATTCAGGGGTTCGCACCACCCAGCGCCCTCGAGCGTGTACGACAGAGCCAGCTATGCGCCCACAAGATGTAAGATACGCCGCAGTACACGTGGAAGGTATGCGAAGACAGGCCGCCAGCGGAAGTCAGCGAGCAAAGGACATGCTGAAGCGCTGGGCCACCAACATATCCTTGTGCGGAAAGCCACTTCTGCCCTGCCGCTGTTTGACATGCAGTTCCATCGGCCACAGCAGTTTCTTTCAGTGCATGATTACCAATACATCTCTCATCAGCCACGTATGGGCACAGACTACAGAAACCTATTCCTTTTCTTTGCCTTCATGCGCCAGATGTCCACAACCACGACCACACGTTGGGATCGGCAGTGGGGTTGTGAGTTACATTGAGATATGTCCATCAAGATCGAGCTCTGCTCTCACTGCCATGGCGAAGTGGCAGCCACGACATCTACGGAAAGGATTCTTGCTCTCTTGACCCTTGAGCGTGGCGGCACTGGCACTATAGAATAGTAGCAGCATCACGTTCAATGTTTCACACATGCATGTATGTCGTGTAGCACGGCGCAGTGAGCACGCGATGCGCATACTTATATACTGAGTGTGCCCTGAGCGTCCACTAAGCATGTAACTACGTATATAGTTGCAGGCAGGGAGGGTTGAGCCTAGCGTTTCGCCCTCTCGTTTTGCTCAAATTAGAGGATGGAGACGGCCTAGGGCCGACGAGGGGCCCTAGGCTATATAGGCCCCCACGGGTTCCCTCAGGCGCCCTTCCGCCTCGCCCAATGACAGAACCAGCAGCAATTCAGGACGCTGACAGGCGCCCAAATTTGTTAGGCTCGTGCCCCGTGCCCGAAGTCGAACGAACTGCTGCCAAAGTCGCTCGCTCGCTCGCTCCTCCGCCTCCTCCTCCTCCGCCACGTCTTCATTTACCTCCGACGTCTTATCATGCATCCCGTCACCCTCGAGGGCCGAGGTATCCAGGGTCGGCGACACTGGCCGTAAGGCCTTAGCAGTATGATTCTGGGCGGGGTTGCTGAGAACACATGCATGCCATACGTTTTTAGCGAATGCGCGAGCAGAGCATCGGCAAGGCTTGCCATGAAAAACCTGAGGGGTTGTTTATGGTTGTGTAGTGAGGTCCTTGCAGAAGTAGTGCATCTGTGCGATTCCGATATGTCGCCATGTGCGCGCGTATTGACTTTGTGCCATGAGACACACGGGATGATTGACACATGTGTGCTCGCATCAACGAGTGTGCGTGCATAGTGTCATTTGACAGGGGTGATGCGCTGGTCACCAGTTTGGCGATGCTGGTATGAGTTCGTATGGCAAGTGAACGATGGTGCAGAACCACCTGTAATTTGCAGTATCCCCGGGGGGCTCGATCAGTCTGGGCTCGGGAGGGGTGTGGAATATGACTGCCTCTTTGAGACGAGAATCTGCGTAGTGCAAGCCCGGCGAAACCTCGGCACACACACACACACATACACACACACATAGCGCACGAGGCGCCCACGAGGCGCCACGTGCGTCTACGGGCAGGCACCAGGCGAAGCATCGGCTGACCGGCCCAGCGCACGAGACGCACCCAAGGCGCCCACGGGCAGGCATAGGGCGAAACCTCGGCCGACCCATCCGACTCCTCTGGCAAGCGAGATAAGCCACCCTACGCGCAAGCACTGCTTTTGGGGAAACAGCATGCAGAAGATGCGCAGAGGGAGGGTGGCTCGTTTTTAAATCGGGGCCGTCGCGGAACACCTTTCGACCACACGTGGTCTGAGGCTGGGTCCTCTCTTCCTCCCCCTCCTCCTCCCCCTCCTCCTCCCCCTCCTCCATCTCCTCCTCCTCCTCCTCCTCCGAATCGGAACCGGCAGCGCCCCATGCATATCATCCCCTCCTTCTCCCCTGGGCCTGGAGACGGAAGGGTGCATTGCAGCATCGTTTACGCATCCTGGGTTTGCTCAGGTCCACCGCATCCTGATCCTAATGGTCCTCCTCCTCCTCCTCCTCCTCCTCCTCCTCCTCCTCCTTCCGCTGGTCCCCAAAGGGACGCCTCTGGAGGTCACCATAAATCTCAAATGCCCAAACACGCTTCCCCGACATCATTAGCATATGGCTATTATGATTAATGGTACGCCTCCGCCTGACCCTCACTCTCGACTCCTCTCTCCGACCCACCCATAATCAGACCAGCGCATACACACAACCACTCATACCCGGATAACTCAGACGCAGGCTCACTCACAACCAGACTTACTCAAGTTCAGAGTCACTCGTACTCAGTTCACTCGTCTTCATTTTCGTACTCAGACTCAAACATACTCAAACTCACGCATACTCAGATTACGTCTGACTCATCATTCAGACGCTCTCTGAACTACCCAGACCCAATCACACTCAGAAGCACCAACATCCACTCCAACTCCTTTCCATTCATACTCAACTCCACTCGCATTCTGCCTCACAGTTACAGAGACGCACGAATAGTTAGAGACACTCACCATGCACATATCCACTCGCAGTCAGACTCACACTTACTCAGACCCTCTCATACTCAGACTCGCCCATACACAGATTCACTCGCACTCAGAGTCAACCATGCTCAGGTCCACTTGCAGTCAGACTCACTCAGTCGCGACTCTTTTCGGAGCCCCAACATCATTGCGATGTAGCACGCGTGGCACTGAGGGGATCCGCCAGGGGGTATTGTACGGGCGTTCGCTTCCAATAGATGGGAGGAGGTCCAAAGAAAAACGGCCGATTTGGGGGCGATGGACATGTCGCCTTTCAGGGCCCCAAGATCATCGAAATGTGGCAGGCATGGCATTGAGGCATCCCGAGGGGGAGCGGCCAGGGGGTACTGCACTGTCCCGTTGGCGCCCAGATTGCAGGGAGATCTCAGATTACATTGACGTTTGGAGTCCAGAGTGTGGACATGTCTCTTTTCAGAGCCCCAAGATCATCGCGATGTAGTAATGGCACTTGGCAATCCCAAGGGGGAACCGCCGGGTGGGGTATTGCTCGGGCCCGTTCACGCCCAGATTGTGGGGAAGTCAAAATAAGAACGGCCGCTGTGGGGGGCGGCTGATGTCTCTCTTCAAAGCCCCACGATCGTCGCGACACATCAGGCATGCCACTTGGGTGTCCAAAGGGATGCGGGCAGCCATAGAGCTAGCCGACCAGGCTGCAAGACAAACAGATGCACATAAGGTGATCTCCGCATCGAGCAATTGCTATTCGTCGAAATACAAGAACATGCGGAAAGACCTTTATCTGACTCCTCCACTTCCTCCCGCCTGTATCGGGCGGGGCCAAGACCAGGATAGATCGTACCAGGGCGTCCCAGAACACTCTCAGAGCGCTCTGAAACGCTCTCGAACGGCCGCGGCGCCCAACGCGTCCTCCAGAACCTCCAGACTTCAGAGATCTCCAATTTGTTCGGGGATCTACTGACCAAGGTCAGTCCAAACCTGGGTCAGCCGGGATTTGCAGGATCCTCGAGGATCCTGCAGGATCCTGCGCGCAATCCTGGGTCAATGCGCCCTGGCTTTGCAAGATCCTGCAAGATCCGGCGCTCTGGCTGACCCCGTTTGCATTGGCCCCCGTCTCGAGGCTCCCGATTTGTCCCTGTCCGAATTCTGTCCCGGTCCCAGCTTGGTCTTTGTCGTCTCCCTTCCACTAGGGGCGGAGTGCGCCACCGGACCGCGCGCGGGGGCCGAGGGGAGGCGTGTCTTCAGAGCACCCCAGTCCTTAGGGCCTGCTCGCCCCATGCGCACGAGGCCACCCTCTGCAGCACCACGTCAACCAGCCTCGGGGAGGAGGAAGAGGAGAACGAGGAGGAGGAGGAGGAGGAGGAGGAGGAGGAAGAGGAGGAGGTGGAGGAGGAAAAGAAGGAGGAGGAAGGGATAGGATGGGGAGAGAGGAGGTTGGAGCGTCTGGGGAGATGGGGAGAGAGGAGGGGGAGGAGGAGGAGGAGGAGGAGGAGGAGGAGGAGGAGGAGGAGTTGTTTTCCTCGCGCTCCTCCCCCCAAGTCCTTTGGAGGAAGTCGCTGAGGTTGTCTGGGAAGGCCGGCCCGTCCGCCGGCGAAACAAGGCTGCAGCGCAGCGCACCCTCAGGCTGATCAGGCTCGAGGGGGGAGATATGAAGAGGAGGCCGATGTTGGAGAACGTCGTCGTGATAGCTGACTCGTTCGTGAGCTGTATGGACGATGGAATCGGGGGGGCTGGGGCCGCTGCGTGTAGGATTCGCACTCTGGTGAGGCTTCTCACTAACCGGCTTGAGCCAAGACGCCATCGGAGCGTCTTGCCGTCCTGAAAAGCATGCCTGACATACTCCGCTGCACATCCCACCTCTCCCGCCTTCCGGGGGGAAGCCTACACCCCAGCTGAAATCTTCACGGCATAAAAATAATCCTGGGCTCCAGATCGGAACGAGGCAACCGACCTCGAACAGGCAAGCTGCCCAAAAGACAGACAGGGCACGGGCAACAAGATTCTGACGCCAGCTCTCGAACAGAGTCGATCTTCATGCTAGCTGCGATGCTGAGAACAAAAACATAAGGCAATCGGCTAGTCGCCTGTCATCTCCAGGGTAGCCGTAGCCCACAAACGAAGAATCGGTTCACGAGCCATTCCGCCTTTCGTCAATGCATCACTGGACAAAAAGCACCCACCACAGCTTGTAGAGCGTCCCCGCCCCCAGCCGATCTCACAGGGATCGCGGTAAATACAATCGGTGGGGCTCGGCTGGGGCCTTGAGTTCCGTCGCGCCAAGAGCGGGAAATGAGCCCTTGTTTTCCGTGCGCACATGCAGACCCACTGGTAGTCGACCAGTGTCCATACATCGCTGAATGTGCTTCACAGTAAGAGGAACACGGACAATCTCTCATATCATGTAGAACGTTGTTGGTACCGTCATCTACACTTGCCAACTCTGCTTAGAAGCTCGGGGCTGCTCTCGCGAGACAAATTCCGACACCGCAAGCAGCCCACCAGTTGGCATGAAATCAACTCCTGCTATCACAATCGCTGCTGCTACGACTGCCAAACAGTCCGGTTCGGTTGCTTTGAACGCACGATCCGGAAATCCCACAACACTCCGAGGAAGCGGTACAGCAACAAAAACAAGATAACTCTTCTTGCGCCTGATCCAACGTACTACATAATTCAAGTAACGTGCATGTTTCCAGCGTGGCTACTGAGCGCGCCGCTGTAGATATCCTATCTTAACTGCAGCATCGGCCCGAGTAACCAGCATCCAGGCAACTCCGCCGAGAAGAGTCCAACACGACGTCCTGTCTTGTTGCCCCAGAAGCTCGTCATCTTCTCTCGTCTTTTCAACATGCATTGGTCGCAACTGCGCCGCGTAGCGCTCCTGAGAACGCCGCGCCGATCCGTCGCCATGCGGATCGTGAACAACTCCACAAAGTTCAAACTTTGGCTTCTGGCGAGTCAGCTTCCCGAGTTCTGCCTCCGGCGCGCCCATGGAGGCGTCCGCCAGCCTCTCTGTGGACGCACCGTTGAGATCATCCACGTGCGTGCTACATACCATCTGAAGATCTTCGATCGCGTCTTTCGGATCCACAAATGCAATGTCGGGCCTCCTGACTTGCTCCTCATCAGTCGCTCGAGGTATAAGTTCTCGAAGAATAGGCTCGCGCCTCGCACTTGCCCGTGCGCGGTAGAACTGTGACTCTTTGGCCAGAGGAAGCAGTTGCAACATGGCCATCACCTGCTTCAGTCTGAGGTTCCAGAGTCTAGGGGCGTCTTTCAGGCCGAAGCCGGGACGCACGCATCTTTTCCAGACAAGGTTGGGTCGCATCGAAGTCCGACAACTGCTCAAACTGCCTGGCGATCCTCATGGTGCCCTTGGGCAGATCCAGCTGCACTGCCCTAAGAGGTTCCCCAATCATATCCGCGACATCCTGACATGTTAACCCCATCAGGGGAGCGCTGCCCACGTCGCAAGACCATGGCAGCAACAGTGGACGGCTGGCAGCAATCACGTTCACGATGCAGTGGCTTTGTTTTGAGGCCGTAGCACTGAACGTGCCCGAACGGTCTTGCTGCATCCTTGGAGCCCTCGATGCAGGAGCGAGCCTTCACGGCGAACTTGCCATCCGTCCGCTTCTTCCATCGCATGACCCAGCGAGAGTCCATCAGGTTAGTGCATCCAGGTCGACTGCGCTGCTTGAGCGCACCTAGATCCATCCATATGCCGAGCTCCTTCAACATAGCCTTCTCTACTTCTACTCGATGTTTGACGAGATCTTCCTTCGTGAGTTAATCGGCCTCACGCTCGATCGCCACCTTGGCTTTTGCCCGACGAGCTCGCTGCCGACACCACATAGGGAGGCATGATCTGTTGCGAAGAGAGCGGGCACCTAGGCGGCCATCATCGGGCGGTCGTGGTCATCGACGATCAGAACGATAAACTTCGACATCTCCACACTGAACTCCACCTCCGCGGTCTGGCCAGTAGCTTCCTTCGTACCCAATACCTCATCTACGTACACCGCGCCGACAACTGGGGAGCCCATCCCAGCCATCAGCATCGGGAGCACAGACACGGTCCAAGATAGCGTGGTAGAACCCGAACTCGTTCTCCAGATGGCCACGCCAACCTGAGCCCATGGCTCCAGCCAGAAGTCCTGCACATCCGATTTCGCACCAGGCTCGATCTTGCGCAAATGCTGGAATGGTCTTCAAGTGGGCCGCATGAAGGGCTGCCGACATCGAGGGCTGCCGACATCAAAGAGGGTGAACGCCTGTTCGCGCGCGTCAACCTCCAGCGCCCATCCTGTCCAATCTCGTAGCCCAGGAGCATCGTCGTCGCCCTCGCCAAATGATCGAGGCTGTACACCACTAGCTGGCACGGCTGAGCATCATGTCGTCCTGGAGCAGCCAGCATGGTGATCCAGGCGATAGCTCGTCGAACGTCGGCAGGTCGACATGGTAGTGTCCGACCCTGCCACCGTGCGCTCACGATGCCTTCATCAGCTCGATCCAAGGACACTATCTTGCAAGGTCCTCGCCAGCCCGTGACGTCTATGTCCGGCGGATCCCTGAAGATGTCCACATGGTCGCCCGCCTGAGGTCTCCGAGCTGCGCTGATGGTCGCAGATAGCTCCTTCATCGGAAAACAGAGCCCCCTCTTGGTCACGCGATAAACTTCGGCGCCCCATAGGCCCGAAACCGAATGCGCGCAATAGCGGGCAGCACGTCGCCCGGCCCCTTGCACTTCACAAACAGACTTTGTGCCCAACGAACGCGCATGCCAATCAGATGCGCCGCGATGCCATCGCACAGGAAGAGTAGGTCGAACTGCATGCCTTCATTGAAAGCCGCAGTGAACGCGAGGCTCGAGGACTTGTTGCCGCGACACTGCCATTCACGACATGCGGCGCAAGCGTCGACCACGTTCTGCGCCACGTTGATCACCTCGATCGGCAGGCCAGCGGCCGACAGAAGATATCGCATTCGTTGCGCAGGAGCGCGTCACAGTCGAATACGCATGCGTCGCAAAGTGCGCTGCACCACTCCAGGAACAGCAGATCGCAGTCCCTGCATGGCACGCCCCATGCCCCTCTGCGCCCAGTCGGCCCCCGCATCTATCTGAGACATGGCATCCTGGAAACGGCGACGTCGCAGGGCTACCTCTTCTGCGCCATCTCGAGCTGATGCAACTGCCCCCTCTGCCGGCGCGATAGCTCCCGCAGCCGCGGCCTCTCCAGCAGGCGCAGCCGCGCCCGACGACGCCGAAGCCGCTGCTCCGCCAGAAGACGCAGCCGCGCTAGAAGATGCCGACGCGCCAGAAGATGTCCCAGCCGCTGCTCCTCCAGAAGATGCTGCTGCACCAGAAGACGCCGCAGCCGCTGCTCCTCCAGAGGGTGCCGCTGCACCAGACGGCGCCGCCTCGGGATGAGGAGCAATTTCCTCTTCCTCTCCGGCATGAGGACATATATTCGATGTCCTGCACCCGCTGCCCGCGCGGCCGGTGCTCGAGGGTCGCGCGCATGGGCCTTTCCAGACGAACGTGCACCCCGCATCCTGGGGTCGTCCATGAGTAGACGACAGTTGGTGCCCATCGTGCGTCTCGGACCCCATCGATCTCGACCTGACTTGCAAGCCCGGCAAGAATACCCAATCGGCTCGACTAGCGGATGCCTGCATTGACCAGGATGCGATTATAAACTGGATGGGCACTCACTCGGTTGCTTCGACATCCTGGGCAATTCCCCCTGAGTCGTGACACAGGCTGAGCTGCCGGCGGTGGCGGTGCCTCCGCAGGAGGTGCAGCTGCTGGCGGTGGCGGCGCCTCCGCAGGAGGCGCAGGGGCGGGCAGCCCCGGTGGCGGATCAATCGGAGATGGTACCCCCTGTCCACTCAAACGCGGGTACGCTGCCACTGCTGTGTAGACAAGCTGCCGCAAACCCTATTGACGCAACCATATCAACTCTGAAATGCCATCCGCCAACGTCCGAGCGAAATGCCGCGTCCAGATCTGCGAAGGTCTCGTAAGCTTACCCGAGCACTCTCCACGCGCGCGTCGCCCGTCGCAGACCCTGGAACGCAAACGACGCACAAACACCTCAATGCTGGCCTATACCTATTCTGGCTTGCTCAACGGGCCCTTCCTGGCGCTCACGAGCCCCAACATGCGCGCATTGAAATTTACCTACACCAGTCTGTTCTTAGCCAACCTGATCCATTCTGGTATGCGATGAATGCGACTTCAGCGAGGCAGCTCATTCACATGGCGTCGTCCCCCTTCGATCCGTACGTGAGCCGCGCTAGCGCATATCCTTC